AGTTTTCAACATAACTCTTTGCCACTATTAAGCCACCAGAACTCCCAATATTTATTGAGATTTTAATGAAAGACTTTTCTAGTTTCTTGGCTCCACAATCAACACTCTTGGTACCAGCAGCCAGGAAATCAAGAGACACATTACACTGGGAAAGTCAGCTGTCAGGCACCCCTCCAGACCAAGAGCAACGACGTCAGGCTGGAGACTAAGATGTGTCTGATCCAGGCCATAGTCTTTGCCATTGCATGTTATGCATCAGAGAGCTGGATAATGACTAGGGATGATAGAAAGAGAGTTTATGTCTTTGAGCTGTGGTGCTGGAGAGGAGTGTTGAATATACCTTGGACAGTTAGGAAAACAAATAGGTTTGTCCTGGAGATGAACCTGGAGAGCCTGGAGAGGGTGAAACTGGGCTGCTCCTTGGAGGCAAGGATTCTGAAGCTTCGTCTGACAGACTTTGGTCATGTTGCAAGGAGTAACCAGCTCTTGGAGAGGGACATCACGTTTGGGAGGGTGGAGAGACAACAAAGGAGAGGAAGACACTCGATGAGACGGATTGATTCAGTGGTAGAGGTAAGTAATGACAGTGGGTGTGTCAGAGACAGTGAGGTTGGCACAGGATAGAGCAGGGTTTAGGGCTCTTGTTTAGGTCACTATGAGTTGTAAGTGACTTGAGGGCACATGACAACAAAAACAATGAAAGACTAACAGACTCCATGAAGCCACAATTGTTCACATTTGTCAGATGAAGTATCTGAGGGTTCAAAGGAGTAATAGCTGAGCTAGGATTGGAATTTATGGCTAACTCATTTAAAAGAGCCACCCCTTGTCCTATACTGCCTCATAAAATGTGTGTCAGATTAATTATGTCCAATTTGTTAATGAATTTTATTTAGAGGTTTTTTATTAGATGCATGCATTTCCACTTCTCTTGATTTGCTGCTTATAAAGCATGATTATTTTTTATTATTATTAATTTTAATGAACATTTACAGGGACTTTGGATTTCCATTCATTGTTGCACTTTTCTCCCTGCCCACCCCTCCCTGCCCCAGTTCACTCTTCTCTTTGAAAAGGAAAAGAAAAATTATTTCATTGTTATACAATCCCTCCCCCCCCGGTCCACCCCACTATGCAGCCTTTGTACTGGACTCTGTCATGACAATGATACCTAATCACATATCCCCTTTATATATTTTTCTCCCTCATTTGTTAAGCATGATTATTTTAACAAAGTCAGGAGTAAGAATGAGGGGAAATAAAAGCTTCAGGGAGGATACTGGATTTGAAAATAGAGAGAAGGCAAAAGAGAGGGTATGTGATTATGTACAGAGAATGGAAAAGGTAAAAATTAATAGAATATGTCTATGTACTACCAAAAGTACTGGTAGAAATTATGCTTTGGGTGGCTGGAGGTCCTAAAACTGCAGAGATCAAGTAGCATCATTTCTTGAATGACCACAAAAGGAGGATTACAGAACCAGCGCTCCAGTTATTTGATCACACCCAACCCTCCTTCATCTTCTACAGAACTTCTGATCAAAACCACTCTGCCAGGGGAAAAAAAAAAGGACTCAATTCCATTAAAGAAATTGAATCCCTTCCAGCATTAATTTGCTGTAACTCCATAAAAGATAAATTACAAGATTTATTTTCCAACTAGGAGCACTTGAAAGATCATTAATACTCATAAGAAATGCCTCCAGAATTTTTAATTTTTTTTTTTAGTAAGAAGCTCAGTAATTCAAATTGGTACTTAAGCTTGAATGACAAATATTTTAATAAGAAAAAGTTCTCTAAGTGAAAATGGAAGATGAATCATTTATATTTTGAAAAGCTTTTATTTTAGTTAAAAAATACATACATGATAAAAAAATTAAGTCTTATGGAAGAACCAATAATGAAAAGCAATAGTTTTCTACTCTCTTGTTCCATGCTCTCCCTCTAATCCCTGGCATCAATCATTCCAGAAATATTTAATAACTTAAAAAATAATTTCTATTTTCTGGCAAGTTTATTTTTAACTCTACATCAGCATTTCTCTAGAAAGTGTGCTATTGAGGTTCTGGATGTGATTTGTGTGAACAGTACAGGATAATGTATGGAACTACTCTCGGAGATGCTGGTGGATTCAAACTGTGTACCTATTGGTTGATAGAGCAATTTCTTACCACTAAGACGCCAGAGGGCCCAGTGTGGAACTACTCAACACATTTCAGGAGCCCTGGCAGTGCAGTAGCAAAGGGCTCTGCTGCTAAGCCACATGTCAACTGTAACCCAGTAGTCACTCTGTGGAAAAAAAGATGCAGCAGTCAGCTTCTGGGTGCTCTGTTGTTGTTGTTGAATGCCATTGAGTCAAGTGCAACTCATAGAAACTCTATGAACAAAAGGCCTATTGCCTCTCCATAACTATCATAATTTTCCCAAATTCATAGAGTTTCCAGAGGCATGTGGTTTAGGAAGTGGATGCCACTCCTGCTCCCAAACCTGCTTTACAACTGGGAGCTCCACCAAACACTGTCCACATTGAGAAACCATCTGGGTATTTGATACCCCAATGGTATAAGATTCAGCATCACAGCAAACCCAGGTTACTTCATACAGCTCACTGACAAAGGAAGAGTGATGTACAAAGTGGACGAGTGTTCCTCTAGATTGGCATCCAGAAAGCTCTACTTCGTGCTATGACTTGAAGTCAACTTGAGGGCAATGTTTGGAAAGCTGTTACTGCCATTTAAAAAATTCAGGTGGGGTAGACTCAGACTCAGGATTGTATTTGGCTCTTGTGGGTTGGTTTTCATTTTCTTCAGCTTTAGTATGAACTTGCATGCAGTTCCACAATCAGCACCTCGCCTGTTTTTGATTACTGATACTAAGTTTTTCCAACTCCTTTTTTCCAGAGATGTAGACAATCTGACTCCTGTGTGGTCCATGTGCATAGTTGCCCTTTGTGGTTTTTTTAAAAAAGGTATTTGCAATGAATAAATCATTGATTGTACAAAATTAAATCATTAGATCTCCAGCTTCATTTCTGCCACCAAGTCTATAATTTCCAGGAACTAGTTTTTCTTCTTTGTTCCCTAGTTTGGTGTTCTTTTCACCGATTATTATTGATAAATCTTGATTGCATATTCGATCAATTTCATATTGCAGAAGTTGATAGAAATCCTCAATTTCCTCATATTTGACTTTAGTTGTTGGTTGTTGTTGTTGTTAAGTGCCGTCAAGTCGCAGGTGACTCATAGCGACCCTATGAAGGAGGGTCCTCGACGCTTGGGTGCCTTTCATCCTCTCTCCAGGTTCATAGGGTTTCCGGAGGCAAGCTATTATGGTTGTTGGTACATTTGAATAATAGTTGTATTAATAGGTCTGCCTTGTAAGTGCATGGAGAGTATCCTGCCACTCACAGCATTCAGGAAGGATCCTGAGATGGTCTTTTTGACTATGAATGTCACCCCTTATTCTTCACTTTTTCACTCTCAACATAGTAGATCGTATAATGATCTGATTCAAAGTGGTCAATGTCAGTCTATCTCAGCTTGCTAATGCCTAGAATGTTGATCTTCATATATTCCATTTCATATCTGACAACTTCCAATTTTCCTAAATTCACATTTCATGCACTGTACAGATGTTTGCAACGGATCCTCTTCATTTTGCAGTGATTGGAAAACACTAACAGAGGGCACTAACTGCAGGCATGTATCTAGCAGTGTTCCTGTATGCTCAGAGAGTTCTTAAAGTCCCACTGTTTCAGAAGCAGAGATTACCAGATGGATGTCTACCTGTGTTTTATTGAATAAGCAAAAGTATTTGACTGACTGTGTGGATCACAACTAATTATGGCTAACATTGAGAAGAACAGGTATCCCAGAACCCTTAATTATGTTTATGCAAAAACTATACCTGGACCAAGTGAGCTCTGGAGGCTTAGTGGTAAGGAACTGTACCATGAACTCAAAGGTATGTGGTTTGAAACCTGCTGCTTCAAGGGAAAAATATGGGCAACCTCCTTACATTCAATTTACTGCCTCTGAAAAATTGCTGGAGGGTCAATAATGAGTGGGTTCTGACTCAATGATACATAATGACAACAGTACCTTGACCAAGAGGCTGTTGTCTGAACAGAGTGAGGGATCACTAAATAGTTAAAAACCAGGAAAAGTGTGAATGAGGGCTGTATCTTTTTCCCAGACCTATTCAATCTGTATGGTGAACAAATTATTCAAGAAGCTGGCTTTTTGAAGAAGAATGTGGAATCAGGACCTGAGGGAGACTCATTGACAGCCTGTGCCATACAGATGATGCAACCTTGCTCGCCAAAAGTGAGGAGTGCATGAAGCTCTTGCTGCAGAAGAGCAAAGACTACAGCCTTCATTATGGGTTACACCTCAATATCAAGAAAGCAAAAATCCTTACAATTGGACCAAAAGGCAATATCATGATAGACAGAGAAAAGGTTGAAGTTGTCAATGATTGTTTAATTTTGCTTGGTCCATGATCAACAGCCTTGGTAGCAGGAGTCAAGGAATTAAAATACAAGTTACATTTGGAAAATCTATTGTCAGAGACCTCCCTAGAGTACTAAAGAGTAATAATATCCATTTAAAGACTAAGGTGCACCTAATTCAAGCAATGGTCTTTTTAACTACTTGCTGTACGTCTGAAAGTTGGACAATGATAAAGATGCCGGAAGAAGAATCGATGTGTTTGAGTTATGGTGTTGGAGAAGAGAACATAGACTGCTAAGAGAACAAACAGGTCTGTCTTGAAAAATGTGAAACCAGAGTGTTCCTTGGAAACAAGGATAGTGAAACTTCATCTCACATACTTTGGGTATGTTTTTAGGAGGGGGCTGGTCCTTGGAGAAGAATATCATGCTTGGATAGGTGGGGGGGGTCAGTGTAAGAGAAGACTCTCATCAGGATGGGTTGACATGGTGATTGGAGCAATGGGCTCAAATATATCAGAAGTGGTGAGGACGGACAGGGTATGCCTACCCTGATCCGGGCCATGGTCTTCAAACTTTATCTATGCCTTTGAGATGTGGTGCTGGAGAAGAGTAGTCAACATACCATGGACCACCAGGAGAACAAACAGGAGAGGGTGAAAGCAAGTTTCTCCTTGGAGGCTAGGATTTTAAAGCTCTGAATCACATATTTTGGGCATGTGACCAGGAGGGACCAGTGTTTGGAGAAGGACATCATGCTTGTAAGGGTTGAGGGACAGCACAGGAAAGAAAGACCCAGCATGAGATGGATTGACACAGAAACTGGGGCAATGGCATTGGGTGTGCTGAAGTCAGTGATACCACCTCAGCATAGGGCAATGTTCAGAGCAATTGTACATAGGGTCACTATGAGTCACAGATGACTTGACTGTACACAACAACACAACAATGAGGTTTGAAGAGCATTAGCAGAAAATAGAAAACAGGACGCAATGAAATGATTTGTATAGATTACTACTTACTACTACTTTATCTCTTTAAGCTGAAGAATGATTTTCAAAGTGTGAATAGCAACACAATTTACAATGTAATGACAACACACTTAGGTGCCAGCCAATGATTAAGGTAAACTTTTTTCCTATCCTGATTCTGGTAACTCTATAGTCCACAACTACCTGAGAAGGTGTGAGGATCATTTTTTTTTATCTCAGTTTGGACACAGAAGCTCACATTTCAGCAATGATCAAGGAGATCATTCTTATCCCTTGCTGACACCTTTCCCCCTCCACAACCAGCCACAGATCATGTCGAGGAGAAATTTCAATAGGTTACTAAATACTGGCAAGGATACTGAGAGAGAAGAGATACAATCTTCTCTGGGGATCTTTAGAAACAGCTGATCATCTTCGATGGGCAGGGTTACATCTCATTCAGTCCATCAAAAGAAACTAGGTGCTAAGAACTCTGCAAAGATCTGTAGGACTATTGAGGGTGAAAAGGTACAGTACCTCCCTTGAATAAACTGTAATGCTTGATCAGGATTGATTCTGAAAAAGGTCTGTTTAGTCTTGGTTAGCACTCAGTGGCTTATATGTAAAGCAGGGTTTGTGATTTATAACAAGGTTTATAGGTCTGCTCTCTAAGATGCCACAATCTTAAAATCAATTCTTCGTGATGATTTCGCCCAGTGATTCGTAATCTTGGCCTGCACATTAGTATTTCCTGGGTCAAACCTCAAACCAAACCTACTGACTCAGAATCCATTCCAAATCATAGAGACCCTACAGAACAGAGTAGAATTCCTCAGGGGGTTTTTAAGTCTGTAAATCTCGAAACAGCCTCATTTTTCTCCCACCGAGTTGCTGATGGGTTTGAAGTACTGACCTTTGAGCTAGCAGCTGAATGTTTAATCATGTACCACTAGGGCTCTTTTCTGCACCAGTCCAGTTAAAGCAAAATCTTTGATCAGCATTTAAAAAAAGTAAACTTTCTAGGGTATTAGTAGCTGAGAACTACATACTCCTCCCAATAAGACTCTCATCCTATATATCTTTAAAATTTTTTTAAATATTATATTGGTTTGATTACAATGTATACACTGTGTTTTACACTATTTTTCACTCACATTGTATTTCATAAAATCATTACCATTCATTTTCATTATATTTTATAAAACTAATCCTCATTGAACTATGCCCACTATTACCCAGTTTTCCCAGATCCTCACTGGATCTTTCCCATTTCCTTTATTCCTCCCTCCCTCCACCCACCAAATTGTGTGACCTTATCCTTATGATTTGCCCTCTGCCCATCCTCACCCCTCTGTTCCCACCCTCACCCCCTTGGATCCTCATACACGTTTTACTAGTTATCTATTTATATAATAACGGTCTTATACAGTACTTTTCCTTCTGAGACTGAGTTAGTCCACCCAGCATAATGCTCTCTAGTCCTTCCCAAGTTGTGCAGTACTTTTCGAAATCATTGCTCCTTCAGCCTATATATGTTTCTATAAAAAAAAAAACAACTGAGATCCAAATAATTTAATTGGCTTACAACTTCCCTAAGACAAACTACCTAGTGGCAGATCTTGAATTAAAATCATTCCTTTTTCTTCATCCAATGTATGTCTATAAATGACATTCCAACTGCTACTTTAGAATAAGATAAGATCAGTTAAGACATTAGTTGAACTGTGGTTCTAGCAGTTTCTCTCACTATCTTGCTTCTAGGTCAGTGGTATGATTTGTAGCCTCTAGAAATGTTAAGCACACCTTTGATCAGGTAAAAGACATTACTACCTTCTGAAACAGGCTCTCATTTTACTAGTGCCTAGAAGTCCTCGACTTACCCCAAGTCACATGAGCAGCACGAGAGGCAGGGGCAGGATCCCCAGCTGGGCACCACGGTTAGTTTGGGGAAGCCTTGGCCAGTGCGCTGAGAGCTACAGGAGGAAGCGCTTGCTCCTCTTCCCTAAGCGTGGAAGAGAAAAGAAAGTTCATCTGGCAGTTGATGGTCATTTCATTGAAAAATCTGTTGTTTTTTTTTTTTTTAATTTTGGTTTTTTTTAAAAGACATTTGTATTGTGATTTTAATGAAAATCTACAGAGAAATTAGATTTTCTTTCATTCATTGTTGTTGTACATTTTATCCCCTCGCTCTCCCTTCCTCCTCCCCCAGTTCACTTTTAAAAAAAAAATATTAATTCATTGTGCACAATTGCCTCCCCCCATTCCTCTGTGCAATGATGTATCTCTTGTTCTGGGCTGTTGTCGTACATATAATGCCTAATCATACATTCATTTTAGACAGCATACACATCAAAAAACTTCTAAAGGAAAGCCACGGAGTGGGAAAAAATATTTGTTAATGACATATCTGATAAGCCACTCAAATCTAAAATTTATAAAATACTCCAACACCTCAACAAGAAAAATGTAAATAACCCAGTAGCAAAGCGGGCACAGGATGTAACAGATAGTTCCCCAAAGAAGACCTTCGGATGATTTTCTTTTTTAAATTTTTTTATTCACATTATGTTTCATATGACCATTCCCATATATTGTGTCACATAAAATTAATCACCACTGATATATGCCCACTGAATCTTTCTAATTCCTTCATCTCCTTTCTCCACCCACTGAACTCGGCGACCCTGTGTCTGTCCCCCTCCTCCCTCAGCCCATTGCTGCCTCCCCTTCCCTCTTTGGATATCCATATACATCTTACTAATTATCCTAATGTTTTTACAATAAGGGTCTTATGCAGTATTTGTCCTTATGAGCCTGAGTTATTTCACCCAGCATAATGTTCTCTAGCCTCTCCCATGTTATATAATAATTTTCAAAATAATTGCTCCTGGATGCTATTCACTTTCCCCCCAATAACCATCACTCTCTTCAAAGATACAGTCACTGCTATTATAATGGATTATATTGAATTATGATTTGTTGTTGTTGTTGAGTACCATTCAGTCAGACCAACACACAGCTGATCCTCCATAGATTTTTTTTAAAGCAATAAATTGCACAGGAGACTACCCATCTTTCTTCTGCAGAACTGTTAGTGGATTCAAACTGTGTGCCTTTGGGATTGCAGTGCAGCTTCTTATCACTAGGCCACCATATGATGCAAAAGGCATGTGTGTGTGTCTACAAAAATTGGTATGAGAAATTGTGTCCTGAATGGGGCATAAAATCTTCTCAGAAGCATTTCTTTGAGAAGAGTAAAAGAAAAAAGTAGGACAAACCCATAACATTGAAGAGAAAAAGTAATCTTGATCAATTAAAAAATTAATAGAGCTAGTCTGTCATGTTAAATGCTGTTGAGTTGGCTGTGATTCACCTCATCCCTATGGACAACCTAGAGCCCATTGCTATAGTCACTGTGTGAGGCTTAGCTTTCCACATATTATACTATTATTACTATGCTGCTCAGAGACCTTTTACTCAACCAAAAAACCCAGGCCAGACCCATGTGGGTGAGTTGATTTTTAACTCCCAGAGACCCTACAGGACAAAATAGAACTGCTGGACAGGGTTCCCAAGGCTGCAGGCATTACACAGAAGAAACTACAACATCTTTCTCCAAGGCTGTAAATCTTTATAGAATCACCCAGCTGCCTGCCGCAGGTGTGAAGACTCACAGTTCTGTTAGTAGCTGGGTGCCTTAACCTCTGGCCACAAGGGGTTCCTATTCTTTTAGTATCGCTCATAAATTAATGAGGAACATGTAACTCTGTAGAGTTTCAGAGTAGTTAAAGAGAGAGAGAAAAAAAGAAATGCTACGTAACAGACTTGGGGTTTCAGGTGTTACTTAACAGACCAGAACGCTTTCCAGCAATGCACTTAAGATATCAGCAATAGCAACCCTACCTAGGAATACTTCACCCCAAGTTTCTTTCTAATGCAAATTAGTTCTAATTTCTTTTCATTTTGCCCTAAGTCCCTACCTGCCAGCCCTCTGACAGAAAGCTATGCTATACTCATTTGAAAGAGAGTCTGTCAAAGAAGCTTATATCAAAATATATTTTTCAAACAGGTTCTCTCTCTTAGCTGTGGTTGTGTACCACTGAGTTGGAATTAACTCACAGCTGACCCTCCACCAGGTTTACAGAGGCAATAAATCACACAGGAGGAGACCACTCATCTTTCTCCCACAGAGTAGCTGCTGGATTCCAACCATGACCCTTTGGGTTGGCAGCAGAGCTCCTTACCACCAAGCCACCAGAGTTCCCTATATCTCCTACTTGTTATGTGCTGTCAAGTCACCTGTGACTCATAGTGACCCTGTGTACAACAGCCCTAAACCCTGCTCTATCCTGTGCCAATCTCACTGTCTCTGACACACCTACCTCATTACCCCAGTTACTGAATCAGTCCATCTTATTAAGGGTCTTCCTCTCCTGCGCTGTCCCTCCACCCTCCTCAGCATGACATCTCTCTCCAAGGACTGATCCCACCTTGTAATATGTCCAAAGTATGTCAGACAAATCCTCAGAATCCTTGCCTCCAAGGAGCATCCTGGTTTAACCCTCTCCAGGACAAACCTGTTTGTTCTCTTAGC